TGGCCTTAGAATGATTATACTCCTGGAAAAGTGCTAAGTAGTTTGTAATAACCAAAAGATTATGCTCAGCATACCCACAGGTATGATCAAGGGGCTTTATACTGAAATCAAAAGATTAAAAAATCCTAAATTAAAACTATAAGACTAGATCTGCAAATAACAAATAGAGAAAAAAGGAAAGAAAAACAACAGAACTACCAGAAAATTGGAGGAGAAATGTAAACAAACAGAAAACAAATCCAACAGCCTAGAAAAAAAAAGTGTGTGTGTGTGGGTGCATGCATGTGTGTGTGTGTGTGTACAGAGCAATCCTGAAATTTTAAAGTAAATAAATCTTGGGGATCTCTAACATAGTGAGAATTAACCTATGAATGAGAACTACCATTTGAAAGAAATATCTTACAATGTTTTACAAAAGGAAGACAATAACTGTAAGTTAATATACATGCACATATGTGAAAATTCTTGAACATCAGATAAGAAACCCCAAGTAAGGCAAAAATTGTAGTATCAGATGAAGCATCCTTTTTGGCCATTAGATCAGACCAAGGATTTAGATAAAGCTAAGCTAAAACACTGTACACAAGCACATAGGTAAGATACAGACTTGATGGGGAACATTACCTAGCTACATGCTACATGTACTAGAAGCTTAATTGTGTCCAAGTCAAACCATCTGGTAAAGTCTTAAATTGCTGTGCTGAAATGTAATTCTTCAACAGATAAAGGAAGCAATGAGGGACACTGATTTAACTATTTTATACTTAAGTTTGAGCAGAAATGATAAGTGACAGAAACTCTGGTAGTGACCAGTCAAAGAAAGAGCCTATGTCTGTTGCTGCAATGTTGACAGCACTCATCATGTTTAATTTAAGATGTGTGCTCATGAGGTGTACTTCAGAAAAAGAAGGGTAGATTTATAGAGGGTTCAATAATCATAATCCAAAGAACAATGATTGGCAGATCCATGTCAGTCTTGAGGAAGAGCTCTATTTGGCCTGTTCCTGGTTTGGTCCTACAAAACATTTTAAATGAATAACTTGAAGAAATGGGAACATACTTACACATTTCCAGGTAATGCAAAGCTAGGAAGGAGAATTAATATGCTGGATTAAATAGTCCATGCAACTAATATTGATTGAGCACCTTTATGGGTAAGGTGTTGAAATGAATTCAATGATTCATCAAGACATCATTTTTCCTACCGTGGTTCCATTTTTCAACTGGGGATATAAAAATATGTACAAATAAAAATAGTAGAAGATATGAAGTGATAAATTCCAGAAAGAATACAGATAAAGTGGTTGAATAGTCAATGAAGGGAGATATTACTTCTAGCTTTGTGTGTTGATGGCTTCAGAATCTGGGAAGATTTAGTGGAAGCATTCATAGCAACATGTTAGATGAATACAATTTAAACATGTAATAATAAAGAGAAGGAGAATCTTCTGAGGCGAAAAGGCATAAAGCTTATACAGGGAAATGTTTGTTGGTTTTGTCTGATAAAGAATGGAATTCAAGGCCGAGCATAGTGGCTGAAGTCTGTAATCCCAGTACTTTGGGAGGCCAGGGTAAGAGGACTGCCTGAGCCCACGGGTTTGAGACCAGGCTGGGCAACTTAGTGAGACCTCATCTCTACAATAAATAAAAAAATTAGCCGGGCATGGTAGTGCATGCTTGTAGTTCTGGTTAGTTGGAAGGCTAAGGTGGAAGGGTCGCTTGAGCCCAGCAGGTCAAGACTGGGGTGGCTGTGAGCATGCTACTGCACTCTAGCCTGGACAATGGAGTAAGACTCCAACTCAAAAAAAAAAAAAAAGAAAAGAAGAAGAATGGAATTCAGGACAGAGAGTAATAGGAAATAAAGTTGGGTAATAAGATTATGGGATACAGGTTGGCACAATAAGCTAAAACCAATAAAATTACCTTGGATGAACTTCTAGTTTTAGAATGGCTGTTTGGTGATGCGTCCCTCTTTCTTTTTTTTGACTCAGAGTCTCACTCTGTCACTCAGGTTGGAGTGTAGTAGCACACTCACAGCCACCGCAGCCCTGATCTGCTGGGCTCAGATGAACCTTCCGCCTCAGCCTTCCAAGTAGCTGGAACCACAGGCATGCGCCACCACACCTGGCTAATTTTATGCTCCCTTCTTTCTTCTTGAAGACCACCCCAAACAATTAGAAATAGAACATAACCTCCAGCTTTAATGACTAACAGGCATATATGAACCACATTACCTGAAAATTGAGATAGAAAACTAAATATTTTAAAACAGTTCTTAATCAGAAGAATGATTGATGTTAGCATAGCAAAAAGAAGGCCAAGTCCACGTGCCTGAAGAGGGAGACACCTCAAAGAAGCAGTACTTCTAGAACCCTTAAAATACTTAGAAAATAAAAACACCCATACTGCAGGCTGAAATGAGACAAAGGGTTGCAAAAGAAATATTTGGCTAAAATTAGAACAACTCTGAGGTAGAAAAAACGGAATTCCTGATCATACTCAGTGACATAAAGCAAAAAGGATGGGCTGGGGTTAATGCCAAGTACTGCCATAGAGTTAAGGCTTTGAAACAAAAACAAACAGTTATTTATTTTCTTAGATATTTAAAAATTTAAAACACTTAAATAATGTTAATATACAGTTTTAAATATTTTTAAACAGTTCTTAATCAGAAGTGTTTATTCCAAAATACAAATGCTCTGTGTACCAAGTTCCAACTCTGGAGATTCTAATTTTGTAGGATAGAGCCCAGGAGTTTCATTTTAGAAGTTTCTCATTCTGAAAACAACCGAGAGCATGTGAAAAAGAAATCTATCACCAAAACGTATCAAGAGGTAAAATGAAAGAGAAAATGACAGGCATTTTCATTCATAGGTAAATACTATATTCCAGGTATAGTTTTAAGAATTTGGAATAGTGCAGACCAAAAAATTCCTTGTGAACTAGGAGAAGAGACACAAAGTAAACATGTAAAATATGTAGAGTGTTGGAAGCTTACATAAAGAAAAATAGTGCAGGGAAGGGGAAAGGGAATTGGGTCAGAGGACGATGCAGTTTAAAATAGGGTGGCCAAGAAAGGCTTCAGTTGAAGACAATATTTGAATAAAGATTTGAAGGAAGTGAGAACAAACCACTAAGCCATCTGGGGAAAAGTATTTCAGGTAGAGAGAGTAGCTGATGCAAAAGGCCCCAAGACAGGAGACTGCTAATATTCACTCAAGGGACAGAAAGGGGGTCAGTAGAGCTGGAGAAGAGTGAGGGAGGATATGAGATCATAAAAGTTAAAAAAAAAAAAAAGAAAAAGAAAAAGAAAAAAAGATAATAAAGGTAACGGGGGCTCAATTGTATAGGTTCGCATGGGTCTGTGAAGGACTCTGGCAGTGAGACGGTAAGCCATGTGATTAAAAAAATGGCTATTTAAAGGGCCATTTATTTTATACACACACACATATGTATACATATATATGTACATACACATATGACTCTGAAAAGCGATGAAACTTGTATAGGTAAGCAATAACAAAAACACAAATTATAAGTGGTGTCTCGAAACCTTAGCTGGCTAAATTAATCTACACAGTATCTAATATAGTAACTTAAAGTGTTTAATAAATATTTGTGGAATAAATGAATGATGAATTTATAATGAAAAGGAAAAGAGTTTAAGGCTTTATAAAATCAAAGGCAATGTATTAAGAATATAACATGGGCAACTCCTTCAGGTCCCCTCCCACTGTGGGAGCTTTTCTGTCCTCTCAATAAATCCTGCTTTCTCACTTAAAAAAAAAGAATATAACATATACTAAAATACAGTCTTTCATAAAAGATTTCAGGGCATTCGTACAGATATCATCCACAGATTTTCTCATTTCATACCTTACATAGGTTAGGCAAGAAGGGACTAACATAAAAAGTCTTTAAGAGTCATTTTGAAGCTTTTCCTCTTTGCTTAAAAGAGTTAAACACACAGTTTTTAACAAATCTATCTTTCATGCCTAGGCTTTCCTGGCTTCTAGCTTAGAAAATGCATTCATCATGATTCATACTCAATTTGGCTCTGCTTTATTCTTATTAACTAAAAACTTCATATATTTTCATCCCAAAGTCTGGTTTATATATTTCTGAACTGACTGTCAATACCCTGGACTCTGGGTTTCTGGAAAAAAAAGGCATTTTGAAAGTGACAAATCCACTTCTGATAATTAGAGAAAGTGAATGTGCTTTCTTTCCCCCCACTGTCACCACTGTAGTTTCTAAGTGAGCCAACTCTCTCTGGTTGTCAGAGAATATTTGCTTTAAAATTATCTGATGATAAATAATCTCATGGAAAGCAAAATAAAACAATTCTTTAGTATTTTTACTATATATCTTTTGTCTGACAATAGAATCTTACAAAAGTATTATTTTATTAACGGAACATGAAAAGCTACCTTCTTCAACCACTGAAACAGAACTTTCTAAAGAAATGAAATTAACTTCTGCTGTTACAGACAACTGTAAATATTTCCGGTATCATACCACGTTATGATTTGATAGAAAATAACGTGAATTCTGAAGTAATAGACTATTAAAAGCTTTACCTTATATGGCCAACAGATCATTGGGAAATGAACATCAGAAAAAATATATTTAAAAAACAAACATTATTTGTGCTAGCACATGGAATTAAGCCAAATGATTTACCAAATGAACAGTCTACTTTCATTCCTTTCTGATATATCCAAGATTTGCATTGGTAACTTTGAATAAACAAAAAAAGTTACATAAGTCTATATTAAACTATGTTCATGTGACGTGTGTGATCAATTCTAATGAGAAAGATTTGATTTCTGGTTACTTTTATTGGGGTATTAATTAGAATAGGAAAGAAGTAAGAGAGTAGAAAACTTGGTCACTCAGTTTAGCAGTTTTCTCAGATTGAAAAAATAACAATGAAACCTCCAGGGTTAAGAATTTCAAATGAGGCTGCTGGACAGAGAAGACAGACCAAATTAGCTTACCACTTGAACCATTTTGAGATATCTGGCATATCTTGGATCCTTGGCTACAGTTAAGATATTTTCTGCTGATACTTCACTTTCCTGTGGTCCAGAGTCTTGTGTACTGTTCTGCTGTAGAGAGTATTTTGTATAAATCTTTAGACAATTCACAAAAGGGGTCCATCATGTTACTTAAAAGGGATGTTTTCTTTCCATAATTCTAAGGCAATAGATAGCAGAAAAAAATCATATTTCCAAATTTAGATACCAATAATTTAATTATGAGATATGTTTCCAGATTGTACAGATACTTAAGTAAGACTTCAGAGGAGGTTACACTTAATATCAACATTATACTGTTCCTTAAGATGTCAATATATTCATGCATTAAAAAATTCTGCTTTGTTTGTTCTCAGGGTGCTGATATAAAGCATGAATTATATAGGTAGATATACTATTTTTTAAAATAAAATTTTAAAGAAAGCTAATAAAACTATTTGATTTGCCAGTTGTTCAACTCTGACAGTGAACTGATTTCCTGGGTGGTTACCATCTACCTGATTGATCTCCTTATTTATGAAATCATCTTATTCTAAGTGGAAGTGGCTCTTCTAACTTTTTAGATAGCAATTCCTGGAGAATTTGTGCAAGAGAAGCCAGTTTGTCAGACAAAATTGTCTGGTTTTGTACACTTCAGCTACTGATAGAACTATTAATAGTAACATTGTCCACAGAGTGGTTAAGATTAAATACTAAATGCTACTTACAATGAAGAATACTGGGAAATGGTCTTTTTAAATAAAATGCTTTTGTTTCACAGACAGTTCTCACTTTGCATGGTGCTGTGTTAACTGAACTTATCCTTATCAAAACCCTATCCTTGCTGTACAAAGCTAGGATTGCCCATATACAGTACAGTATTTGATTTTTCTATTAAACTGAACATTTAGAATAAGCCACTTGTGTGACTCTCACTCATCATATGTATACAAGTATTAAGAGAAATTTCCTTAATAGAATTACTTTATGTCTATATATCGATGCTAAGATGTAGATAAATCAATAAACAATTATCTTTAAATGTTCACAGTCTTTAGACTATGAATGTGAATGATATATTAAAGTTTTTCCCCAGATAATTAAAAATATAAATTAAATCTGCCAAAAACTCTGAAGCAAATAAAACATCCAAAAATCCTTCAGGTTTCTCCTGTTGTATGATACTGTTGAGTGTTACAAGAATATATGTATTCATAATATATATATATTATATATTCATATATAATATACACAAATGCAAAAACCCCCAAACATTGTCAATTACATTACAAAGTTCAAGCAATATTCAAGTATGTTTTTAAAATTTTATGAACATTAAACTCATATAACAGCACAATGAAGCAAATGAGAACTACATTCCGGTCTAACGGATTTGAACCCCCAATTATTATTTCTGCCTACCAACCAAGACCTCAACAAAGTTTAATCATGTAGTGTCTTAAACCTTTGCTTTCTGACTGTTCCATTAAATCCTCTACCATATCTCTCAACTGTCCTTCATTTTATTCTCAATCTCAACTTGCACAATTGGATATTCTATTGTGAATGATAAAATCTGAACCATAAAATTAAAGTTGCAGAAAAACCAGTATACCCACCTTGAGTCTTTGACTCATGTATAGATTAGAAAGTGATAAATAGATTTTTTTTAAAGTGCATGATTATCTTTTATGTGATAATTGAGTTGACTGTGATGTCAATGGGAACTCTGCATTGAGCAATTAGTACTTAAGCCTTTTCCAAAATATTTTATATAAAATATACCAAGTAATAACAATAAAGAATGAGAGGTTGTTGTGAATATTAAGAGCACGCTAAATAGTTACTTTATTAAGTTAATCAACACACAACTTCATCACAATTTTTTTAAACTTTGGAAGCCAATAGAACTTCATAAATCTAAATAAATTAATACAGAATACAATTTTCAAATAAAATTGCTAGAGATAGACAGAGATATACTGGGCCATTCTGAATTTGTAAAGTACACAAAGAGATTCAACTATGATAACTGGTATTCAATTTTTGGGGACCTTAAATAGGTGAGGACCAAAACAACTGCATAAGAGCTTTAAAATACATGTTACAGATTGGCATTCATAATAGCACCTGGAAAAAAAACTAATATTCAAAGCTAGACAGATATCACTTAAAAATTTTATGGAAGCATATGACAACCATATCCGTCCAAGATTAACTACTAGGTAGAGTAGAAATATTTTATTTTTCTTTTTAAAAATTTTTATTGAGCCGGGTTCAGTGGCTCAGCCTGTAATCCCGTGCCTTTGGGAGGCCGAGGTGAGTGGATTGCCTGAGCCCGCGGGTTCGAGACCCGCCTGGGCAGGCGAGACCTCATCTCTACAGTAAATCAAAAAAATTAGCCGGGCGTGGTAGCACGCGTCTGTAATTCTGGCTACTTGGAAGGCTGAGGCAGAAGGATCTCCGGAGCCCAGCAGGTCGAGGCTGTGGTGGCCAAGAGCGGCCACTGCACTCCAGTCTGGGCGACAGAGTGAGACTCCAACTCACAAAAAGAAAAAAAAAAAATTTTTATTGAAGAGACAAGGTCTTGCTCTGCTACCCAGGCTAGAATGTGATGGTGTGATCATGGTTCATTGTAACCTCAAACTCCTAGGTTCAAGTGATCCTTGTACCTTGGCTTCCCTAGTAACTAGGATTACAGGTGTATGCCACTACGCCCGATGAATTTTTTAAAACTTTTTTGTAGAGATAGGGTCTTACTATGTTGCACAGTCTGATCTCAAACTCCTGGCCCAAAATATTTTCTTAACCCTTTTCACTTGTCCCCTCTGAGGCGATATAGTAAATCTAACAAAACACTCAGATGTTCTCTTTCTGGGGACATAAAGAGATTGCTGGTGATTATACAGGGAAGACTTATGCCAGAGCAAATTTTTAAAAAATGTATGTTTCTTTGAAGTTTTCCATTCAAATTGCACAGAAAAGCAAATAAAGAGATGGAATATATACTGAGATATACATTAAAAAATTATCAGCTGGCATTATGTGGAAAGAGAATGTCCTTCCACATTATCGTCAAACAACTGACAGGACAATAAGTTACATATTATTAATGAAAGAGGAAGAAACCAAGACTGCATTGTCTGCTCAAATAGAAAAACACCAGGTGGAAGATGCCAAACAAAATATTATTGCACAACATGTATCAACGAGCCTGCAATACATGTCAGCAACCATTTTACATGTTGCTATGTGTTAGAAAAATATGCGATATAAAATTTTGATTTTTTAGTCATAACTAAGCTCCTCAATGTCCAAAATTCCATTATAATCCAAATATCATTACAAGAAAATAATTGGTTCCAATGTTATACTATTTAATATGAAGTGATTTGTTTTTCACTATATCATAAAAAAGTACAATTGCATTGCTGGTAGCTGTGATCCATGAGATGTCTCCAAATGAAAAAGGTCTTAATATTCTTTACAGATGTCTTTAAAGGATAGTTCATATTTAATTGAGAGACCCTTGTAGCATTAAAGTCCTCTATAACATCTGGATTTCTTCTTGTATATTATATATATTTCAATATATATTCCATAATAATGGAATTTGCTATATTAATTAAATGGGTGTTAAATTTTTAATATCTAATTAAGTAAATGATCACCTAACAAATTACCCAGATACATACTATATCTAAATATATGAACCCTCTCAAAGGGTCTCAGAGTTCACATCCTCAATGTTTAATAAATTGAACACAGGCAGTGGAGACAGTGTAGCATAGTGTAGCAGTGAGAGCTAGGGCTCTTGGCAACAGTCTGTCTGGGTTAAAATTCCAGCTGTTACATTACTGTTCCATCTTCAGCAAATTGGTTAACCTCTATGACCTCATTTGACCCATCTGTAAAGTAGGACTGATAATTGCTTATATCATAGGACTGCTGTGAAGAGTAAGTGAATCAAATTATAAAAGTGCCCATGCCCTGGCACACAGTAGGTACACTGAGTGTTGGCTATTGTCATCATTGTTAACATCCATGATGATCTAAAAAATATCCTGTGGAAAGTACCTCTAGGTACAGGCTGGGGTGTGGTGGCTCACCTTTGTAATTCCAGCACTTTGGGAGGCCAAGCCTGTACAACATAGCAAGACCCCTATCACTACACAAAACTTTTAAAAGTTGGTCAGATGTGGTGGCATGCACCTGTAATTCCAGCTACTCTGGGGCTGAGGCAGGAGGATCACCTGAGTCCAGGAGCTTGAGGTCACTGCACTCCAGTCTGGGCAACAGAGCAATACCCTGATCCTGTCTCCCCCCCCAAATATATATATCTCTAGGTATAAATGCAGAAATCCATTATATAGGAAGTCTATTTGTTTATTTACTATGCTGGGCCACCATTCTGGTGATTATCTTATTCTGGGTTTTAATACCTCATAGAGACCCACTGGAGATTGTCTTTCTCAAATAACAAAAACTTTTTATATTTTGAAATAATAAGTAATAAAGAATTTAAACTTATACAGAAGTATAAATGAACACTAGGATATAAAAGTCAACCGTGAAAGGCTGGGTGTGGTGGCTCATACCTATAATCCCAGCACTTTGGGAGGCTGAAGTGAGAGTTTTGCCTGAGCCCACGGGTTCGAGACCAGCCTGGGCAACTTGGTGAGACCTCATTTCTACAATAAATCAAAAACATTAGCCAGGCCTGGTGACTCGTGCCTGTAGTTCCAGCTACTTGAAAGACTAAAGGTGGAAGGATCACCTGAGCCCAGCAGGTGGAGGCTCCGGTGGACGGGAGCATGCCATTGCCCTCCAGTCTGGGTGACTAAGTAAGACTCTAACTCAAAAAAACAAAACAAAACAAAAAGCCAAACATAAAGTGTGGCTCTTAGTAGGATGCTGATTCAAACAAATCAACTCCAAAAACGTACTTTTTGACAATTCATTTTTCTAATATCTGTAACTCTCAAATTCAAGATCCCCCAAGTCACCTAGAGATCTTGTTAAGATGCATATTCTGACTTGGCAGTTCTGGGTGGAGCCTGAAACTCTTCGCCTCTCGAAAGTCCTCCTCAGGGCACGACCCTGCACTCAGTCCAAGAGGCATCCTTTGAGTAACAAGGGGTTTGAATATGATACCAGGAAGTTACTGTTAAGTATACTATCTATGATAAAGGCAGTTATTTAAGAAAAATGTTACATAAGAAAATGCCAAAACTTCTCAGAGATGCTCAAGGAATTATGCGGGGTAAAATGGGATTCATTTCAGCAAGTGGCAATAATGATAGATGAAGCAATTGTGACAAAAATCTTTTTTTTTTTTTTTTGAGTTGGAATCTCACTCTGTCACCCAGACTGGAGTGCAGTGGCCGCTCCCGGACACCACAGCCTCGGCCTGCTGGGCTCCGGCGATCCTTCCGCCTCAGCCTTCGAAGTAGCCGGAATTACAGGCACATGCTACCACGCCCGGCTGATTTTTTGATTTATTGTAGAGATGAGGTCTTGCCTACCCAGGCGGATCTCAAACCCGCGGGCTCAGGCCATCCACTCACCTCAGCCTCCCAAAGGCGTGGGATTTCAGGCTGAGCCACCGAGCCCGGCTTTGTGACAAAAATCTTAATAGATGTATCCAGGTAACAAGCATTTGAATATTTACTGTACTATTCTATTTTTGTGTATGTTTAAAAATTTTATAATACAACATTTTGAAAGCATATTTCTTGTTTGTTTTTATTTTTATTTACTTATTTATTTATTTTTGAGTTGGGAGTCTCACTTGATCGCCCAGGCTACCCCAGCGTCGAGCAGCTGGGCACCGGTGATCCTTCTGCCTCAGCCTTCCAAGTAGCTGGAACTACAGGTGCATGCTACCACACCGGCTAAGTTTTTATTTATTGTAGAGGTAGGTCTCGCCAAATTGCCCAGACTGGTCTCGAAACTGCAGGCTCAGGCAATCCACTCATCTCGGTCTCCCAAAGTGCCGATTACAGGTTGAGCCACTGAGCACGGCTTAAAAAAATTTCCATAGCAAACTTAAAGAAAGTGATTATACTCAAGATTTGTCCTAGTTCTATATAAATTGATTTTCTTTTTTATAGGCAAAAAATAAAAAATAAATAACTTCAAGAAGTCCTTCAAAATAACAAAATAAAACAGCTAACGTTGTTCTCCCCAAACTTCATTTTCTACCTCCAGGTTTTATACATTTATTATTAAAAGTTTTACATTTTTATTTAACTTCTTCCTTCTAAACTGCTGTTTAGGTCTATCATTTTCAACCATAAAGAACTACATATGTTTCTTGGAACTCAAATACTTTTACCTGTGATTGCTCTGAAGTGGCTTCAGAATGTGACCCATTTGTGACACGAGTGATACTTGAAGGAGACACTTCAAATGTGATATCATCCAGGCCCGGGATAGACGACAACTGAGGAAAGCAAACTAGTGTTAGTACATGAGGACAACATCAGATGCATAAAGAAGCAATGTAAGGTTCCAAGTGTGTGTGTTTTTAATAGCTGTCTTGTGTTCTAAACCGATACAAACAGGTTCATAAAATCTCATCTTTCATTCTCCGTGTCATAAACTAAAAGCAAAATACACTCACAAATAAAATACTTTCAAAGAGTTTCTCAAAAATCTAATTCAGCTTATAACCATTCTTTTCCCAGAAATTACTTTAAAAATACAGGCAATCCTAGCGTCAGGACTGAGAGCATGGGCTTTGGAGTTCAGAATTCCTAGGATTAAGTCCTAAGACAAGCACCACTCATAAGCTGTGCAATCTTGTGTAAAGCTCCCTATGCCTCAACTTTCTCACCTATAAAGTGGAGATAAAAACAATTTACCTAACAAAGCTGTAAAAAATTTTTTTATTAAAGATATTTTGTTAAAAAAAAAAGTGCTTAGCTGGGCTCGGTGGCTCAGCCTGTAATCCCACGCCTTTGGGAGGCTGAGGTGAGTGGACTGTCTGAGCCTGTGGGTTCGAGACCCGCCTGGGCAACTTGGCGAGACCTCATCTCTACAATAAACCAAAAAATCAGCCGGGCATGGTAGTGCGAGCCTATAATTCTGGCTACTCGGAAGGCTGAGGCGGAAGGATTGCTGGAAACCAGCAGGTCGAGGCTGTGGTGGCCGGGAGCGGCCACTGCACTCCAGTCTGGGTGACAGAGGGAGATGCAAAAGTATAAGTTGGAGTGAGACTCCAACTCAAAAAAAAAAAGTGCTTTGTGGAACATTGTGCGTTTGAATTACCTGAGATATGACAAAACTCTTGCCTTTACATTTTCATGTTTAGCATAACTCATTCTTTTTCTTTCTTTCTTTCCTTAAACATTCACCACTGAATGTTATTAAAATGTGTTGTTTCTTGTACACAAAAAATGGGCATGATGTCAAGATTTCAATTGGAAATGGTTGAAATAGTTCAGCATTTCACATTAGATTTGAAAGACCCATGCAAACTTTCCTTTCTAATTGCATTCTGATATCAATGACACACATTTATCAGATGTTTGGCTAACTTTGGGAATTAACTGTACAATCACAAAAATAACTAAGGTTAACTTGTCCATATGGTAACAAGGTTACCTTGGCCTCTTATTCCACAAGGATTCCCTAGACATTAAAAAAAGACACATACTTCTAGTAAACAATAGTGAAAAAACCAAAGATAATAAGATCTCATGCAGCAATACTCGTTGAGAACTGCTGAATGACGACAGCACTGTGGTTGTGGCCGAACTAATTTCAAATGGGTATGGCTGCTAGGACAGCATCTAGAACATGTTCAAAGTTAGGGCTCTTACATTTCCAAGCTAGAAAAATGTTCTATGAGAAATATAGTTGCTGAAGTCTACAGGGAGATGCAAAAAGTATAAATGAGACATTCTGGTCCTTATTCTAAAGAGGTCATTTCCCCCTCATAAATATTAATATTCAATAATATTTTTAGATAATTTGTTATGGTAAAAGGACAAAGTCATACACACACAAAAAAGGACAAAGTCACTAGTGTCTCCATAGTTTTGTAAACAAACAAACAAAAAAATACAGGTAAAATATGTTAAAAATGAAATCAAGTTAAAACTAATGTGTCACTGTTATTTATCAAAATCTTTAAACTTCCAAATCAAAATAGTCTCCTACTTTTCTGAGTTATCTGCTGCAATTTCTGCCATCCAGACTGGTATTTTTCATTAGCATTTAAGATATTTGCAATGGAAAACAGTTGATATTGTCTCTAAATTTTGCTGTGGAGACATCTAAAGATTTCTATTATTATTACACATTATCAAATGAGAACTATTAAAATAATTGTGAAGTGAGATGAAGTGACAGCTCAGTTTGCCAACATGTTACTTATGCATACATATTATGCTTTTGTCTAAGATAATTATCCACTAGTATAATGAAAGAAATTTCAAACTTATGAGGTTGAGACAACTGAATAAATGCTTTATAATGAATACCACTTCCCTTGCAATTGTAACACTTTAAAAAAAAATGCAACACTGTGCCACTTCATAGATTCAGGAGTTATACTGAATTCATTCCCAAATGCAGTTAAAGTTAAGTATGATTGAGAAAGTTGGTATGTGTACAGGAACATTTGTACTATAAATTATTCAGAAACACAAACCTTTGCATCTAAAATATTGAGAGTTGTTTCAATTTGTTGGATACGAAGAGAAAGGTCTGCCAATTTCTGGAAAAGAAAAATTAGAGACAGAAGAATAAAATGTTTGATTAAAATAAAGTGTTAACAATAACAACTAAGGGCATATATGAAAAGGCTAGAGCCCGTGGTGCAAATATTTGTTTTTTTTTTTTTTTTAAAGATGTGGGGTACAATTCAGGATTAGGTATACAAGTGGTAAATATTTGTTATTTATTTATTTATTTTTGAGTTGGAGTCTCACTCTGTCGCCCAGACTGGAGTGCAGGGGCCGCTCCTGGCCACCGCGGCCTCGACCTGCTGGGCTCCGGCGATCCTTCCGCCTCAGCCTTCCGAGTAGCCGGAATTACAGGCGCGTGCTACCACGCCCGGTTGATTTTTTGATTTACTGTAGAGATGAGGTCTCGCTGCCCAGGCGGGTCTCGAACCCGCGGGCTCAGGCAATCCACTCACCTCAGCCTCCCAAAGGCGCAGGATTACAGGCTGAGCTACTAAGCCCAGCTATTCTTTGTTATTTTTAATCTTATTTACATGAGTAGAAAAGGGAACTCAAGTACTTTATCATGTTTAATTGAATGCTTCACAGTTATTTTATAAAATTACATTTACTGATAGAAAGTTCCATTTTAAGCTTTAGCAAACTCATTGTCAGAGCAGGGAACAATCACTGGCCCAGAATATAAACTCAGCCCAGGACAGTCTTTTTTTCACTGCTGAGCCTCTAGTGCCCAGAACAGAACCTGACACTTAACAGTTATTTAATAATTATGTGTTGATGAATGAAGGAATTCTTCATAGAAAACAAGAGAAATAATAAAAATTAGCCAAAGCCAGCCTATAGCAGGGGCTGCATTTATAAATTACTTAACTGCATAAGCATATACAATTCATCTCAAATTCAAACTCTTTGTGTTTGCAAAAAAAAAGGGGATGCAGCTGGAAGATGAGGAATTAATTTTGGAGAGAACTGAAACAAAAGAGGAAAATCACAGTACTAAAAAAAATTAAACAGCAACCTGCCATCAAAATGCAAAATAAACCAGATTGAAGAGTTTATAATGCTTGTTATTCTGTACATTAAATTATCCATATACTTGTATATATACACATCCATAAAACTAAAAGTAATATCATAAAATATGACGGGCAAGAACATTTCTTTAAAACCTCCTAACCCTAAACATTATTACATTGGGTCACACAGTCCAAGAGCAGTTGGTCAGATTACTAGTTGACAGATATTTTGAAGATACTGACAAATAAGCAGAACTTTAACACCCTGATAAATGGTCTTTTTGTCCACAATTAGAGGCAGCAAAAAATTGAGAGTAGCCACAAAGTAGTTAGTGCATCTTTACAAGCCATTTATTTTTAAGATGAGCATCTTAGTATCTACAAAGGTAAAATGTAGAAATAATGGGTTCGAAACTAAGTTTAACCTTGACTTCTAGAATTTGTTCACACAAAGCTTTTACGTAAATGTAAGTAAAGGCATTATAAACTGCATCATGGATGACTCCCTCTACAAATTATAAGTGTATTCCTGAAAAGCGCAGACATTTAATTTTGGCAATTTTATCAGTCTAATTTTCTTTAGTGTTTCTTCGCTAGTTCACTAGAGAAGAAACTCTAAAGAAAATTAATTTGTCAAATAAATAAAAATTTACAACTTATTTAAAAATGAATATATTGATTTGATTAAAGGGGACCCAAAAAATCCCCCCCAAAAATTGAATTAAAAATTGAATTTTTTTTTCCCAGGTGGGCATGGTGGCTCATGCATGTAATCCCAACACTTTGGGAAGCAGAGGCGAGAGGATTGCTTGAGTCCAGCAGTTTAAGACTACATGGGCAACAAAGCAAGACCCATCTCTATAAAAATTTTTTTTAAAAAGTTGGGCATGGTAGCATGTGCCTGTAGTCCTACCTACTTGGGAGGCTGACACAGGAGCATCACTTGAGCCCAGAAGTTTGAGGCTGCAGTGAGCTGTAATTATGCCACTGTACTCCAGTCTAGGCAACACAGTGAGATCCTTACTGAAACAAAACAAAGCAAAAACCTGATGTCAATCCCTCCAACTCCAGAGGAAACACTCTTCATCAGATTTTGGAGTAAATTTTACATTGTTAAAACATGATGGTAAATTCTTAAGTGTTGTGTAGACAGAATTTTTGTTATCCAAAGCTGACAAATAATCAATTTGTTTCTAAGCTGCTACTGTACTATATATTGGGAATCAAATTTTTCTGAAATTATTTTAAAAAACTGTTGTCCCTTTTTTCCTTTATTTTGCGAATTTTTATTAAAGATTTCAGGGTAATGAGACCATGGGTTCAATTTGGCGAGACCTCATCTCTACGATAAATCAAAAAATTAGTAGGGTATGGTGGCATGTACCTGTAGTTGGAGCTAGTTGGAAAGCTGAGGCAGAAGGATCGCCTGAGCCCAGCAGGTCGAGGCTGCAATGGCTGTAAGTGTGCCACTGTACTCCAGCCTGGGCGACAGAGTGAGACTCCGACTCAAAAAAAAAAAAAAAAAGTTTCAGGGTTAGATCATAAAGCGAACTTCTCATTATGCAGGCGCACAATGATTCACAGAGCATGGGCTGGGAATTGAAATACAGATCTTAGTAAATAAAGGACTAAGGATGAAAATGTTTATAAAACTACTCGTTAATAAAGACAAAAGAGGTTGGAGAAAAACATTTATACCTTCTAGAGCAGTAATTCTCAATTTTGGAAACAGATTAGTCTGGTGGATGGCATTATTTTGCTTTGTCATTATTTTACCTACTCTCATCTACCATAATAAAAACATAACCAAAATGAAACAAACTGTTTTTTAATAAAAGATTACATGAATGACTTATTCATATGACACAAAAGACACTCATCTAAATATCAGCATATTTTAATTTATAATGATCTAGCTGAATATTCTTGATAGTTTAAGAATAATTTTTCCAAATTTAAAATAATTGAAGAAGGCTGGGCTCGGTGGCTCAGCCTGTAATTCCGCGCTTTGGGAGGCTGAGGTGAGTACACTGCCTGAGTCCACGGGTTCGAGACCTGCCTGGGCAACTTGGCAAGACCTCATCTCTACAATAAATCAAAAAATTAGCCGAGTGTGGTAGCGCGCGCCTGTAGTTCCAGCTCCTTGGAAGACTGAGGCGGAAGGATCGCCGGAGCCCAGCAGGTCGAGGCTGCGGTGGCTGGGAGCGGCCACTGCACTCCAGTCTGGGTAACAGAGTGAGACTCCAACTCAAAAAAACCCAAAAACCAAAAACCAAATAAAATAATTGAAGAGATTGGCATCTCAAGTGGAAATTTTGTTGCTTACTACTGCTATTACCACCTATGTTGTAACCAGATTGATGAATGTAAAAACAAAATTAGAAAGACATTTGGTCTTTATATGTATTAAAATTTTTTAAATAGTCTAGTTATTAATTTACAAATTCATTTGAGGGATGTGAGTATGTTAAGAAATGATTTTCAAAAGTTATATGTAATATTGGGGAACATTTTATTATTTTCAGATAATATATTTAATATTTTAGACTCTCAAAAGCCAGCTCTAGAGAAGATGGATAATACCTTTATTTAATTAATTAATTTATTTATTTGAGTTGGAGTCTCACTCTGTTGTTGCCCAGGCATGCTCACGGTCACTTCAACCTCGACTTGCTGGGCTCAGATGATCCTTCTGCCTCAGCCTTCCAAGTAGCTGGAACCACAAGCATGTGCCACCATGCCCAGCTAAATTTTCTGATTCATTGTAGAGATGAGGTCTCACCAAGTTGCCCTGGCTGGTCCTCGAACCCGTGGATTCAGGCAATCCTCTCACCTCAGCCTCCCAAAGTGCTGGGATTATAGGCATGAGCCACCACGCCCAGCTGGATAATGCCTTTATAGATAACAAAATAACAACACAATTTATCACAACAAAGATCTTCCCAAGTCAAGAGAAAAAGTCTTATATTTTTTTGTTTTGTTTTGTTTTTGCAGCAGGGTATTGCTCTTTTGACCAGGATGGAGTACAGTGGTGCAATCATAGCACACTCCAGCCTCGAACACCTGGACTCGAAGAGATCCTCCTGCTTCAGACTCTCAAGTAGCTAGCATTACAGGCACATGTCCCCACTTCTGGCTGATTTTTTATTTCATTTTGCTTTTTGTAGAGACTGGGTCTCAGTTTCTTGCCCGATAGTCTTCAACTCCTGGCCTTAAATGATCCTCCAGCCTCAACCTCTCAAAGTGCTGTGATTATAGGTGTGAGCCACTGCACTCGGCTAAAATCTTTGGATGATAATGGTCTATCTTTATTTTTATCTACTTCTAACTTAAATTTGGTATTTTTAAAAAAATGTAGCAAAGAAAAAAATCACAGTAGTATTAGGATGAATGACTGTCACCCACAGAAATCAAAGATTTTTTATTACATTATAATTGTTGAAGATTTACCATACTTCAAAATCATGGTTATTAGACATGCCAACAGATTACATAATTTAATGCTTTAATAAAAAACCTACCACTATGTCACAATTTTGAATTTTTACAAGTATATACCTGGTTTCTTTTATTATCTTATGCATTCTATCTTATCCATTTGAAAACATTAATTTGGTTTCATCACACTGCAGAAGGCCCATGGCACAATTAAGAATGAACCTCTGCTTTTCAAGGATAATTCAGCCTATTAAATGATTTTGAGTCTGTTCCAATGTAACTATTGCTATAACATACATAAATATACACTTTTTATAATCGCTGTCACTTGAGAAAGTATACCTGGCTTAATTTATGGGCTGGTGAAGTTCATTTCTGAGATATTTATGTCTGCAGCAGTTTTCTTCTACAATCCCCAAGCCATTAGAAAGCAGTTTTCCAACCTTGGCTCTACTGACATTTGGGGATGAAACATTTTTGTTGTGTGGACTGTCCTGTGCAGGATGTGTATAGCAGGATGTGTAGGAGAATCTCTGGTCCCTATCACTAAATGCCAGGAGCACTCCTGAGTGCTCTAG